TTATTCCAGATGAAAGCTCAAGGCTCTCAATTGTTATGGCAATAGGTAGAATTAATTCATAAAAGATTTTAAGGAGAACTGATAGGATTTCATAACTGAATGTGATGCATGGAGGCCAGCCATGGGTCTGGGTCGATACTGGTGCATTCAACCATGATGGACAATACCAGTGAAAACAGAGAAAACAGTGATTTCAGCTTTAGACTCAAGTTTGAGTTTCCCAAGGAACCTTCAAGTGGAGATACTCAACACCAGCTAGATGGTCTGGAGCTTACGAGAGAACTTGGGGTTGGAGATCTATTTGAGATTGTCAGTATAGAGATGGGGAATGAGATGCAGCAGGGTGAGGAAGGAAGGGCTGAAGACAGAACCTTGGAGAAGATTATAATGTCAAGTGGCCTGGAGAAGAGAAACCAGTGAGAAGCAGACTGAGAAAGAACTTCCAAAGGGGTAAGGGAAAATCCTGGAGAGAGTGGTGTCAGAGGAGGAAGGAAAGAATTGCTAGCAAGTTTGCCAATGGCCAGCCACACCTGATGCCACAGAAAGACCAGGGCAAGTGAGCAGTGTTCACTGTTGTGACCCAGGAAGTCTGTGTGGATCCATGCCCAAATTTCAGTGGGCTAAAGGGGCGGTGAGAATTAGGAAACCTGGTCAGAAGTTTGAAGAGGGGAGGGAAAAGGAGGTGATTTGGAACTAGAGTAAAAATTGACTATTTAGTAGAATAGGAGACACTTGAGCTTCTTTATGGGCTGAGTAAGCAATGGATGGGTGTCTGACCCCAAGGGGCTAGGAGGGATCTGGGGTCTAGGTAAAGGGAACTTCCTGTCTCCTCTCCCCCTTTCTGCCTGTCTCTAAGGCCTATTCTGATCCCCTCCCCTAAACTTTTTTTTAATCATAGCTTTTTGTCAACTGACCCTCCATAGGAAATTTAAGGAATAGCCCTTCCCAAAGAAGTGTTCACTTAGAAAACAGGAGATGGCCTAGGATCCCATCTGTTTCTCTTTCTCCTCTTTTGCCAGGAAGCTAAACTCGCCCTGTTTTGCACCCCATGCTTCTTTGCCTCCTCCATAGAAACCTAGTTCATGCTTTCCTCACAGGTAGGAAGAGTCGTCATCCACCTTGAAAACCTCTTCAGCATTGGTTAACTCATCAGCTCCTGGTGAAGCCGGGCCAGTGGGAAGGAAGAGCAAGAAGGCCGGGGAGTTGGGACCTGGGCTTCATCCTCCATCACTGGGACCAAGTCACAGCTGGGCCTATGCCAGGCCTCAGTCTCTTCCTTTGTTATATGAGGGAGTTGACTGAGATCACTGTGGTCCCTTCTTGTAGTGTGACTGCTTGGTGTTATACACATGCAGAGGGGAGGCTCAACTGCAGGGCCTCCCTCACGTGGGCAAGTCCAGGCCCTGTGGAACAGTAATCAGTGTGACCTGAATTCAAAGAGCTCAAGTGGGGAAAGGGGTGAAATAATGACCAGCCTCCTGTTGACCCCTTAGGGTTCTTTCCCCCTCCTCCAGCCATTCACTATCGTGCACTCTGCCTCCTGTAAATCATGAGTAGCTAGCTAGAAGGTTTGTTAGACAGAGCTCTGAACCAAAAGTGAAAAGGCAGCCTTAGAATCCCATCATTTTCTAGCCATGATACTGATATACTCTGAGTCTGTTTTCTCATTTGTAAAATGGGATTAGTAATACCTACCACGTAGTGATAAGAGGTATTCTATAAGACTGTATATGTAATGTGCCTTGCACAGAGCCTGTCCAGTACTCACTCTCTCCCTCCATCTGAATCAGGAACTTCATTTTTACATTCCTTTCAAATGATACAATTGCAATGCAACAATTCCCCAGGTAAAAGAATAACTGTCTCTCTTCCTGGCTCTATTTTTTCCTTTTCTTCTTCTTTTTTTTTTTTTTCTTGACAACAGAAAGCTTCTTTTTCCCCCCAGAAAAGAGGCAACATCACCCTGTCAATGTTAAATTCTGGCAGAAATGAAGCCACTAAAATGGAAAGAGAAAAAAATATTTTGGCAACAGCCAGGAATGAGAAATTGCATAGCATTTACTGGGTTATATATATTCTATGGATACAGGATACTCTCTATTATTGGCAATGATTGTCTCTGTGGTCAATGCTTATTTCTGAAATAATTCTCTTTTCAGTGCACATGGTGGATTGATTGCACTGATGGCCTCAGTTTGTTTGTGTTAATCTCTCCCTTTGCTCTATCACTTTGCAGTTCCCCTCCATAAAGAGGCAGAGTATATATTAACCCATCTCTTGCCTTTGGAGTTGGTCATGTGGCTTGCTTTGGCCCATGGGGTGTTAGTGGTCACGATGTAAATAGAACCTTTAAAAAATGCTGTTGTATTTCCACTAGTTCTTTTGGACCCCTGACATTACCATGAAAATGTGCCAGTCCAACCTGCCAGGGAGGTGTGAGAGACATGTGGAAGAGAACTGAGTCATCCAAGCCAAGGCCATCCTAGACCATCCAGCTCCTGTCAGCAGGACATAGCCCCATTGACAGAGCCACCCAGCTGACCCATAGGCTTGTTAACAGAAATAAATGTTTGCTGTTGCAAGCCATCAGAGTTTTCTGATTGTTACACAGCAGTAACTACTCCATTCACACACATTTGCTGAAAGCGTTGGTGCCTGGGGGTGACCCCCAACTTCTGCAACTGAAATGGTGAATACATTCCTGTAATTTGAACCTCACTGATTTTATAGTTAGCAGCCTGGAGAGTTTGTTTGAAATCTCCATCCTAGGCAGACTGCCCTTTAATTGTTCCCTAAATACAACCTGCACATCCCTGCCTCTGCTTCTGCCTCTGTACGTTGTATTTGTCCACACTGAAATGTCCTTCCTTCTCCTCCCTGCCTATTTGCATCATACCAGATCTCCAAGGACATGACTTTAAAACCAGCCTTTTCTGATTGACCTCCTGCGACTGTTCCCTGCCTTTTCAGCCTATTAATTCAGGTTATTTCTTGCCTGAGCCATAGATTGGATACCAGACCCATGTTTGCCATATATGGCTGCTGTTTTTGTTTGTTTGTTTGTTTGTTTTAATCTCAGCTGTTTATTAAACTAGATCCCAAGTTCCTGGAGGCCAGGGCCCTCTTACATCTCTTTTATCTCCCAAGCCTTGTATAGTATCTTGAAAAGGGAAGTACAGGGCCTTTCACTTAAGACTTTAATATTTGTAAGTTGACCATCACTGGGGGGCTAATTGTTACTTATCATTGCTAATGAATAAAACCAGAAGAATGGATGAGTGAATGGAGGGATGGATGGATAGATAGATAGAAGATAGATAGATAGATAGATAGATAGATAGATAATGTTAGATGCTTCCAGATCTGATTTTGTAGAATGTACCCTGTTCTACTATAATTCTCACTAGGAAAATAAATTTTACTTTAAAATGCCACCTTTCCCCTGAAGATTTTACTGATCCCCATTCATTCTCTCCAGATTAGATATGCCCTTTTCCTTTCCTGATATCCCTATGTGACAGTCAAGTTCTTACCTGCTCACCTCCACCATGCCACATGGCACAAGCAGCAGCTCCTGGAGATCAAAGGCTGTAGCTTAATTATGTATGGATGTCCAGCACATGGTAGGGTGCTTACTGCACAAGGAGTACTCAGTAATTATTTGATTATTTTATCTATCCTGCCTCTGTCTTTCTTTTAAATGCCCTACTTCAGCCCCTTATTATTGCTCATAGAGACAACTACAAAAACCTTGTAACTGACCTTCTTGCTTCTAGCCTTATCTCCCTTCTTCACCTTTCAACCTGTTAGCAATGCACACATACGGAATTCAACTTAAAAGGAAAATCCAACCAGGCTATACTCCCACTAAAAATCTTCATAGCTTCCCTCTTCTTCAAGGTATTAATAAAAACCAAGCTCTTAGGCTTGGCACGCAAAGCCCACTAAGATATGCCCATCCTACCTGTGTAGATCCTTCTTTCACAACAGCCTCAAACTTTATTCCAATAGGATAGTACAGCCTGTGTGTACTATTCATACTACACGGTTACTTCCCAACTGTACCTTGTCCCCTGCCTCTCTAGATAACTCACTGACTCACCTGGCCCAGCCCAATCCATCCTGACCTTCCCTCCTGTCCACCAATTTTCCCCACCCCCTGCAACAATCAGTGTTCCACTGATTGTTGACACATTGCGTTGTGATTATCTGATTTAAGTGGAAGCTTCCTGAGAACTCTAGCACTAGTGTAGTATTAAATTAGCCTAGGTTCAGGACCAACTGTTGAATTTAGACACTCCTCTGCCATCCTTGGTACCTGGGTTCACATCTGAGTAACTGCCCATTAGTGTAACTGCCCAATGGGTTCTCCCTGCCTGCTGCCCAGATAGAACAGATTTATCAAGACGGGAGAATTGCAGTAGAGAAAGAGTTTAATTCACACAGAACCAGCTAAATGGGAAGCCAGAGTTTTATTACTCAAATCAGTCTCCCCGAAAATTCAGAGACTGGAGTTATTAAGGATAATTTGGCAGGCCAGGGAGTGGGGAGTGCTGATTGGTCAGGTAGGAGAGGAAATCACAGGGGATCGAAGGGGGTTCTTCTTGCAGTCTTCCATCCCTGAGTGGGATCAAAGAACTGTTGGAGCCAGATCACCAACCTGGATGGTGCCAGCTGGTGCATCAGAATGCAGGGTCTGAAAAATACCTTGAGCACCAATTTAGGTTTTGCAATAGTGATGTTTAGGAACAACTGAGGAGGTTGGAATTGCGTGGCCTCTGGCTGCATGACACCTAAACCATAATTTCTAATCTTGTGGCTAATTTGTTAGTCTTACTAAGGAAGTCTGCTCCCCAGGCAAGAAGGGGGTTTGTTTCCAGAAAGGGCTGTTACCCTCTTTGTTTCAAGATTTAACTGTAAGCTACATTCCTCCCAAAGTTAGTTCGGCCTACAACCAGGAATGAACAAGGGCAGCTTGGAGGTTAGAAGCAAGATGGAGTTGGTTAGGTCGGATCCCTTTCACCGTCATAACTTTCTCACTGTTATGATTTTTGCAAAGGCAGCTTCGTAGGGCAGATGAAGATAAACTTAAATGTCTCATGATGGTAGCTAATATTCATTGAGCACTTACTATGTACCAGATATTGTTCTAAGTGCTTTAAATAAATTAGCTCATTTGGCATTCACAGTAATCTTATGGGGTACATACTATTAGTATCCTCATTTTAGCAGTGAGGGTTAGGAAAGGTTAATTAAGTTTTCTAAGATTACACAGCTACTAAAACTAGAATCTGCATGCAAACCCAGGCAGCCTGACTCTAGAGCCTGTAACCTTATTAGCACCACCTCGTGTCGCCCCACGTTCATGTTTTCCAGGGGCCCTCTCCCATTTCTCAGTCGTTTCCTCTCCCAAGAGCGGAGGAGAAGGAAAGGCCAAGAAGACAACATTTCTCATGGCTTTTTAATTTATTCAGTTTACCTAAATTCTCTCATCATTACTAAATGACACATACTGAGCCAGGTTGAGGCCTATCTTTTCTTAGTTTTATCTGTATCTGTTTACTTAACCATGAAGATAACTTTTTTACTCCCAAATTTGAGTGATTAGTAAAGAGCTGTATAATGTAACCAGTTTTGCTTTTCGCAAGCCATCTCTGTTTCTCAGTGGGCTGAAAACCACACTATTGCTTCCTCTTTACTTTGCTGTGAGAGCACAGCATTTGTCACTCAACCTCTGAATGTTAGTGACACTGCTGGGACGGGAAAGGACTGTGCTGGCCCCAATGGCAGGCTTCTCATATGTGGCATCTTTCTTTCTCTTTCTGAGTAAGTTTCATAATCCTTTATGTTTCTCTTGTCACAGGAGGTAGTCACCTCAGGGTGCTGGGTGATGGAACAGGACAATTTGGTCTCTGCAGGAACAACTATGCCATATATTTCTGATGTTAGCAATGATTTTTGACTTATTGATGACAGTTCTTGGCTTACCTAGACATCCTTGAGTTCCAGGGAGGTGCAATGCTTGGTTGAGTCCCATGAACATGATTCCATTGTTTTTTACATTTGTGTGTGTTGCCAGATCTATCAGTTTTGCTTGGCCCTGGCTTTACTCATCTTCCTGGGCTGATCATCCCAAGAGACAATAAAAAAGCCTTGTGTCAGGCTGGGCGCAGTGGCTCACGCCTGTAATCCCAGCACTTTGGGTGGATCACGAGGTCAGGAGTTCCAAGACCAGCCTGGCCAAGATGATGAAACCCCGTCTCTACTAAAAGTACAAAAATTAGCCAGGCGCAGTGGCAGGCGCCTGTAATCCCAGCCACTCAGGAGGCTGAGGCAAGAGAATCGCTTGAACTCAAGAGGACGGAGGTTGCAGTGAGCCGAGATCAGGCCACTGCACTCCAGCCTGGGCAACAGAGTGAGATCCCGTCTCAAAGGAAAAAAAAAAAAAAACTTTGTGTCCCAAACTGAGAGGAGACTTTAAGGTTTGTCTGATATTAAGGCTTGATGGAATAAATATGCCTTGCAGATATGACTGGATGGAAAGAAAGGTTATGAAAGTACTTAGTAGTTTTAGAGTACGCTAAAAGAAGGTTCTAGATTTCATCTGTGAGTGGAAGTGGAAATTGACTACTGAGAGACTGAGAAATGGGCAGGAAGATTCACTTGGCTCTGCTGAGGGCCATGCAGAGGGGCTTGCCTGATCTAGGGGCATTTATGTATGTTAGAACAGGATGGAAGAAGAGGAAATTTGGAGGTAGAAGGGAGAATCAGATGAGTTGAGCAGGTAATGGAATAGTTTCAAACCAGATAGCAGGTACTTTTTAATGCTACAGTTTTCATTAACATCTGGTAAAGAGAATAGACCCCATCTCGGAATGTGTAAAATGCATGAAATAAAGTGCATAGAATTATAGAGGAAATCAATCACATTGAAATACAGGTATCAAAATATTTTAAATACATTGTAATGCAGTAATTTATTTGCTTCTTATTTATGGATTACATAATAAGATCTACAGGTAGGTCTATTAACCACCAAACTTCAAAGTAATGATGAGTATAAATAACATTTCTATATATCTTAAGTAGTTGTAATGTGATATGAAGATCTCTGTGGTTGTCTACATTCGTAACTGAAGAAAATACTAGGCCAGGCGCGGTGGCTCAAGCCTGTAATCCCAGCACTTTGGGAGGCCGAGGCGGGTGGATCACGAGGTCAGGAGATTGAGACCATCCTGGCTAACACGGTGAAACCTCGTCTCTACTAAAAAATACAAAAAAAAAAACTAGCCGGGCGAGGTGGCAGGCGCCTGTAGTCCCAGCTACTCGGGAGGCTGAGGCAGGAGAATGGCGTGAACCCGGGAGGCGGAGCTTGCAGTGAGCTGAGATCCGGCCACTGCACTCCAGCCTGGGCGACAGAGCGAGACTCCGTCTCAAAAAAAAAAAAAAAAAAAAGAAAAGAAAATACTAAATTTCCATTAGAGGTAAAAATGAAAATAAAGAGATGTAAGATTATTTTTCACCCTGGTTTATGGACCCTTTAATCCTACATGTGGACCCAGTTAAGAACTCTTGCTTTATGGCTGGGCACGGTGGCGCACAGCTGTGGCCCTAGCTACTTGGGAGGCTGAGGTGGGAGAATCGCTTGAACCTGGGAGGCGGAGGTTGCAGTGAGCCGAGACTGAGCCACTGCACTCCAGCCTGGGTGACAGAGTGAGATTTCATCTTAAAAAAACAAAAACAAAAACAAAAACAAAAACAAAAAAAACTTCTTGCTTTAGAGAGACTGGATGGAGCTAGTGCAGGGACCCAAATGACTGGGATGATTGGGGAAGTAAACCAAGCTGTATTTGGTGTGACCAGGACTATGGTTGAAGAATTAAAAGAAAAGAATACAGCATTCAGCACAAAGAGGTTGCTTCATAAACATTGATTGAGTTAATTGTGCTCTTGTCTCTAGGTACATGTGATAGTGTGAGGTTTAAGAGTCAGACCTAGGACCTGCAGGAGAAGTTGCCAGGACCACTTGCTGGGTGATGGATGCCTGCCAGACTGACTTGGCGGGTGTTGATGGATAGGTGCACTGGCAGGATCCTTTGGAGGCTGGTGTGTTTCTGTTTTTTGGTTAAGTTGTCTGAGTGTGATTCTCAAGTGTATGTGCTTTGTGTATTTGAACTCTTATGTTTGCTACATATATAGGAGGAAACTGGGTTTACATTGTGCAATAATTCATAGAATTGCAAATTCTGTCTCTTTTTTTGGTAAGCAGGCTAGAAGGCCTGGGGGAAGGAAAGTAGTAATCAAGGCTCAAAAAGGGGAAGCTGGAAGCTTTTCCTTAACCCATTTAAACAATTACCTAAACTGGGTTATAGATTTACTTCTTCTAAATTCTGACTCATCCCAAGCACTAATTTTGTGTAGAAGCACAGTTTCTATGTGAAGAATACATAAATCAGGAAGTTACTTGAAAAAGCTTTGGAAGTCTGCTGTTTGTCATTACAAATATAGAGGGGAAATGAAAGAAATTATTTAAATAGTGATCAATTGATCAATTACATTGGTTAGCAAATGTATACTTTGTCCCAATTTTTTTTCAATAAATATAAGGACTGAACAATCCTGATAGAAAGTGGTGCCATATGAGATTAATGTCATGGGTAAATGAGTTCTCGGAGTTAGCAGTTAGCTTTGTCTGCCTGTCTATTTCCCCCACCCTAACTAGCTGCCCTACAAATAACGGCCATTAACGTGGCAGGGTTTGGGGGAAGGGCTATTGTCTGTCTTACTGAGATTGCATTCATGAAAAATAAAACAGATTCCACTTAGTATGGATGGAAGCTGTCTCAGCCTCCAAGCATATAGGGTTTTTGAATGTGTAAAGAGAAAGAAGCTGCTTGTTATGTTGGCTATTCCTGAGGTAGGTTTTGTATAAGGTAGCGTTATTTGAAACTGCTCTTTTTTTGGTATCAAAAATGGTCAAGTATGGGCCGTTTTATAAGGTTCAACCTAATTGTTTTCATTCAAATAATACTGCAATGGTAAATTTGACAATTCAAGTGATATTTTTAAAGAAAGTCAATACCATCGAGGAATTTTTAGTGTTTTGAAAGCATGATTGCAATGTCAGTATATCAGTGCCAAGCTTTGTACTAATCAGCCTACAAGAATATGAGCTGTTATTCAAAAGTGGCTAACCCTCTGCCCATTGAAAGAGAAAGCAAGAGGGCAGTCCTCACAGGTGTTTTTCGGAGGGTGGATGATATGTACTTGAAAAAACTCAGAGAGAATATATTTATAATAAGATCCTTAAGCTTATGCCCCAGTGCATAGCCATTTGAGTTGATCTCTGCCAGTCATGCCTTCCACCTGAAAAATACCTTTGAAGTCTCCACACTATTTCTTTCAGTTTTCTGAGAAAGTAGTATGTCTTAGACTGTTTGGGGTGTTGTAGCAAAAGTACCATAAACTGGGAGGCTTATAAACAACAGAAATTTAGTTCTGGAGGCTGGGAAGTCTAAGATCAAGGCACTGGCAGCTTGGTGTCAGTGAGGGTCTGTTCCTCACAGCGCCTTCTAACTGTGTCCTCACGTTGCAGAAGGGGCTAGCAAGCTTCCTGGACTCTTTTATAAGGGCACTAATCCCATTCATGACAGCAGAGCCCTCGTGACCTAACCGCTTCCTAAATGCCTCACCTCGTAATACCTTCACCTTGGGAATTTGGTTTCTGCATATGAGTTTTAGGAAGACACAGACATTGATACTATAACACAGCACCCTCCCAGTCATCCCTCTACTAAGACATTATTTCATTCATCCGCCTTGCTGGCTTCACCCATTCTCCATCCCACCCCTTCCTACTGCTCCTCACCTAGCTACTCTCTCTAGCTGCCATCCTGGTCTTCATTTTTCCTTTTCCATGAAACTCCTGGACGTAGGTTACACTTTCTGCAGTTACTTCTTACCCTGAAAACTGCTGCTTCCACTCTATTGAAATCCCTTTTACAAAGATCTTCATGGACATCCTCCTCATCGAGCTAACAAGACTGTCCTCTGCCTTCAGAGTCCCCAAGCTCTTGGCAGCCTTTGGCAGTGCTGACAAGCCCTTTCCTCTTAGAATGTTCTTCTTCCCTTGGTTTCCAAGCTGCTGTGTCCTAGTTGCCCTCCATCTAATTCTTCCCTCTGTGGGTATTGTTCCTCATGCCATCCCCTAAAGAGATTCCCTAGTAATCTCTCCTTAGCCCTCTTCCTTCTGTTCCCCAACACTTCCCAATACTTGTATATAACTGGCCTAATCAACGTCTAACAGCTCAGAACTCTCCCTAGTTACAAACAGACATTTACAGGAGCCAACAAGAAACAATGGAGACAGCCATGGATTTGGCATTTGCAGATCTATTAATATGTTCAAGTCTGGCTCAAATTCTAGGAGTTTTTACATAACTAAATATGGGAATGTCAAATGGTTTTTGAAAGGATTCGATTATAAATATTTTCAAAGGGTTAAATAGACCTTAACCCTTTGAAAATATTTATAATTTATATGTAAATATAAATATATATTTAAATATTATTTCAAAATGTTTGCTGAATATCCTTCCTGTCTATTCCAAGGTCTTCAAATTTAGTATTTCTAAAATTAAATGCATTATATTTTCACTCACCATTATACACACAACAGTAACTTTTCCTGGTATCTGTATTTCTATTCAGAGTATCAATATTCTCCCAGTCAGCCTTATCAAACTTATGATATTTGATTTCTTCCTATCTCTCATCTCGCCTACTACTCTCAAGCATCCAAAACACTGAAAACTCTACAGATTTTGTTTCCACAGTAGCTAGGCTATAGTACCTTTATTTTTATCCCTATTGCTTTTGTCACCTCTGTCCTGAGCTCCTATAATTACCTGATACCTATTTCTAACTTCCATCATCCTACACACAAACTGTCAGGTTCATTTTCCTAAGACCTTTCAAACACTTTCAGTGGATTCCCCATTGCCTAATGAATCAAGTCCAGACTTTTAAATGTGATAGTCAAGTCTTTTCTGCTCTGGACCCAAAATTGCTCTCCAGTTTTACCTCTCTCTATTAATCTTCATGCAGCGCCCCCACCATCCAGTTGATTACCCCTTATTTTTGAATATGTCTTTTGATTCCTACTCATATGTCTTTTGATTCTCTACTTGCCATGAAATCTCTTTTACCTAAAATGCCCTGTCTCCCCATTTACCTTGTCATAATCTTCCCAATTCTCCAAAATCCATTTCTAATGCCATCTCTTATGCCATCTCCATAAACCTACTTCCCTCCCCTCAAAATGTAGTCCCTCCTTTCTTCAAAATTTTTGAAGCACTTTTATTATATGTTTTCCATAGAGAGATGACTGCTGTCCACTTGACTGGATTATAAAATCCAGAACAGAATCTAGCCTAAATTCATCTTCATATCTTAGTCCGTCAAGCATGAGAAATACTATAAATGGTTGAATAAATATTTATTGAATTGGCAAATAAAGTAGCAGAAAAAGAAGTATGTGTTTTCACAATAAAAATGTTCAAATGTGGTACCCATCTTGCTGAAAAGTGATGGGAAATGTTGGAGAAGTGTTGTCTAGCCACCAAAAATAACATCGTTTGTAGAAACATGCCTTGATATAAGTAGGTTCATGGTACCTCAAAAGCCACATTAAAAAATATTTTTATTGTGAAATACAACATAAGAAAATATTAATAAAACATACATTTTCGGTTTAACAAATAAATAAAAAGTAAAATCTATATAATATCTAGCCAGGTCAAGAAATAAAATATCACCAAGACCTAGAAGCACCCACCCAGCCCACAGTGTGCCCCATCAAATCACAGACGCTCCCCCGACGCAATCACTTTCCTGACTTTCATGATAACCGCTTCCTAGTTTGCTTTTTTTTTTGAGATGGAGTTGCCCAGGCTGGAGTGCAGTGATGCAATCTTGGCTCACTCCAACCTCTGCCTCCCAGGTTCAAGCGATTCTCTTGCCTCAGCTTCTGTAATAGCTGGTATTACAGGCACCTGCCACCATGCCTGGCTAATATTGTATTTTTGTAGAGACAGGGTTTCACCATGTTGGCCAGGCTAGTCTTAAACTCCTGGCCTCAAGTGATCTGCCCACCTTGGCCTCCCAAAGTGCTGGGATTACAGGCATAAACCACCTCGCCTGGTCATTTCCTAGTTTTTTGCTGATGATTTTACCCCTTATGTATGCATCACTAAACACTACAGTGTGGCTTTACCTGTTTTTAAACTTTATAAACAGTAGGATTCTTCTGTATAGAGTCACAAGGGTTCAGAAGTGTTTTTGTATCTTTCATTGAACGTAGTCACTCATGTTATTGCAAATAGTTGTAATTGTTGATTTTTATTTCTATAACATTCCACTTTATGACTGTATCACAGTTTATCCAGTGTACTGTTGATGGACATATGGGTTGTATCTTGTTTGGGGTTTTAATGAGCAGTGTAGCTGTGCATATTCTTTCACACATAGCTTGGTGCACACATTTCTCTAAGATGGCATTGCTGAAAAGTGTTTTAAACTGCCACTGTAGTATAACTGGTTGGTAAGTTATAATTTACATTTTCCCAAGGTGGTCTAACTTCTATTCCTGGCTTCTTATTACAAAAAGAGCATGATATAAATATGTCACATAAATTTGGACTTATGAATAAATTAGTGTATTCTAAATTATTATAGAGGCTGGGTGCAGTGGCTCACACCTGGAATCCCAGCACTTTAGGAAGCTGAGGCAGGCAGATCACTTGAGGTCAGGAGTTCGAGACCAGCCTGGCCAACATGGTGAAACCCTGTCTCTACAAAAATACAAAACTTATCCGGTCATTGTGGTCCATGCCTGTAATCCCAGCTACTCAGGAGGCTGAGGCAGGAGAATCACTTGAACCTGGGAGACAGAGGTTGCAGTGAGCCAAGATTGTACCACAACACTCTAGCCTGGGTGACAGAGCAAGACTGTCTCAAAAAAAAAAAAAAAGAAAAAAATATTATTACTAGAAATGTGTGTGGTTGGCTGACTAGTTGGTTGAGTGTTGGTTGGTTTCCCAATTTTAGACTGAGCATACATGTATGAGATATATGCACCTGACTGCCTCAGGTGACCACTTACCTTTTCTTCCCTTTTGCCCTTTGTTGTAGTTCCCTTCTATCCCTTAGAACTAGTTTCATTTCATCCCAGATTCCTATACTCAGTCTTTTTGTGTTCTCTGTAATGTCCTTTTTCCTTTCCCTCACTTGTTTTTTCCACTCTAATCTCCTTACTCTTTGTCCCTGGAGAGTCACAAAATGCAGCAGAGGCTCTGCTTCTTCCTCATCTTCTTATGAACTCTGTTCAGTTAACTCCATAAAGCCAGCAATCTCTCCCTGTCTGGCCCTTCCGATGTCTTCCAATCCGTCTTCCCTTTTACTGTACCCTGGGCCCCTAGTAAAAGAACTGGCCACCCTTGTGGCATGTCTTTGTCCTTTCTGCAACACAAAATGAACTAGCCTTTAATATCAATCATAGTAAGTAAAGATATGCTTTTTGGTTTCTGAAAAATGATTGATTTAAAAAACTTGTCAAATGAAATGTTACCATTTAATCATGTTTTTTCCTTTAGACCTAATACTTGAGATTTGTTCTAATAGAAAACATTTCCTAGTAGTCCCAACGGAAAACTTTTGGTAAGAACAAAGCTAAAATAAATTCTAATCCCAGAACCTGCTGGATTTTACAGCCATCTATTAGGAGGCTTTTCAGTAAAAACGTTTCTTTAAGAAATGACAAAACAAAACCAAAAAACCCTCCACAGAATAGAAAGGAAGTGCTGCTACCTCTTCAGATGCTAATTTTGGCTAGTCTTGCAACAGACCTGGCTAGGAGCTACAAATAGTTCAACCAACCAGCTAGAAAAATCATGGCACCAAGGGCAGAGCCCTAGACTTTGCGTCTCCAGCAACTACTTCTCTGGGAACTGCCGGACGGCAGCAGGCACCCTGGAATTTGAGGCTTGAGGAAGTATATGCCAAATTTTTTCATAAAATAATGTAAAATTATCATACATTTATTTGCTTTAAAATAAGTACACTTCGATAAGCAGATGTTTTATAGAAGTGGTCATGTTACATTGATGAAGCTAAACTTTTTTTAAGAGACCGAAGATTACTATAGAAGTTAAAGTTATAAAAGAACAATTAACTCATCAAGCGATTCCACCGCTGCTCAGCCTGAAGAAGATGTTGAACATTTGAGTTGATTATAGCTAACAACCTGAGATCTCATTTACCAGAATTGTAATACAAGGAAATACATAATGTGGTACACTGGGAACTGAAACACTAATCTCTTTTTATTCCCCTTTCTTTCTCCTACTTGCAAGCTAAGCTCAGCATTGGCCAGAGAGAAGTAACAGTTCAGAAAGGACCACTGTTTAGAGCTGAAGGTTACCCAGTCAGCATTGGCTGCAATGTAACTGGCCACCAGGGACCTTCTGAGCAGCACTTCCAGTGGTCTGTTTACCTACCAACAAACCCGACCCAGGAAGTCCAGATCATTAGCACCAAGGATGCTGCCTTCTCTTATGCAGTATATACGCAGCGGGTGCGAAGCAGAGACATCTACGTGGAGAGGGTCCGGGGCAACTCAGTCTTGTTGCACATCTCAAAGCTCCAGATGAAGGATGCTGGCGAGTATGAGTGTCACACACCGAACACTGATGAGAAATACTATGGGAGCTACAGTGCAAAGACTAATCTAATTGGTAAGCTGCTTGTCCACTTCTGCTCGCCAGCCCCTGAGAAGCCGGAGTCTCCACCATCACAATATCTTGCAATGTGACCTGGCTTTATATTGTTCCATGTTCTTTGGGAAAAGAGCCCACATACCCTTGTGGATATTTTGGAGATATGTCACAAGGGGGTATCTCATATTCTCTAAAATTATGTTTCTTTTTCTCAATTATCTTTGCCATATGTAGATGGTGTGTGGTTTTCCCAAGGCCTTGTCCACAGCTATCCATAGGTTGCTAATAGCAACAGCATTCAACAAAGCTATGAGAGTTCTCCCTGTGTTGTCTCTGCTTGGAGGCAGAAGAGTAATTTGACAAGAGAGCTGCTGCCATAGGTGATAAGTCATTAACTTAGAAATGATTATTCTCAAACTACCATTCTCTAGCATATTTACATATTGGGAAAGGGTCATAGTCTTTGCAGTTGTCACTTTGTCCCTTTGCCTGGAATATCTATCACCCCCTTTTCAGCTTAACAAACTCCTACATATACTTCAGGACCCAGTTTAGATACCACCTCTTCTGTGGAACTCATCTTGACTGCTTGGGCAGAATTCCCACTTTTGTTTCTTTTAGATTGTCTATTCATACCACTACTATCAGCATGCATCCAGTTATATGGTAACTGGCTGTTTGTATACCTCTCTCCCACCACATCCTCAGCTTCAACTCAGTGGCTAGCACTGAGTAGATGCTCGGTCACATTGGTTGATTAAATCTAAGTGTTGCTTTCATATAAGCTTAGGCTGTGTGATTTCATTTTAAGAAAACAAGAACGGTAGGGTAGTAAGACAGTTACCAAAACTTTAGTAAAGAATGCATTTGGGCTCTAAATGATACATTTTAACAGACATTATTGCATTATTACAGAGCCTTATAGAGGAGCAGGTTAAGGCCCAGGGAGGTGAAGTGACATGCCCAAGTCCATGTAATAGGGACGGATGTAGGACCAGAATCTAAGGTTTCTCTGTCCCAGTGCTTTCTCCCTTTAAATACATGCTTTGTGTCTGAGTAGCTAAATTGGTTACAGCCTATGCTAATGAAGCAAAGTGAGGGTCAACACATTGGTGAGACATTTACTTTGCCAAGTTCTGTAGACTGTACATAGATGCCAGTGTTCCCATTAGCAATAGAGAAAGCATACGGATAGGAAGGCATATGGCAAGTGGAAAACCAACTTGAAGTCTGTGTGCTTTACATATGGTAGCTCGGGGCACCATTTTCACCTAAGGAGGCCCACTGGACAAGCACTGGGCCAGTCACATTATTATCACTCCTTTGTTTCCAGTTATTCCAGATACCCTCTCTGCCACCATGAGTTCTCAGACTCTCAGTAAGGAGGAAGGTGAGCCATTAGCCCTCACGTGTGAGGCATCAAAAGCCACAGCCCAACATACACACCTCTCTGTCACCTGGTACCTAACACAGGATGGAGGAAGAAGCCAAGCCACCGAGATTCTCTCTCTCTCCAAAGATTTTATATTGGTCCCTGGGCCCTTGTATACAGAGCGGTTTGCAGCCAGTGATGTACGGCTCAACAAACTGGGGGCCACCACGTTCAGGCTGTCCATAGAGAGGCTCCAATCCTCAGATCAGGGTCAGCTGTTCTGTGAGGCAATGGAATGGATTCAGGATCCAGATGAAACCTGGATGTTCATTACTAAAAAGCAGACCGATCAAACCACTCTGAGGATCCAGCCAGCAGGTAATTATCTTCCTACGAAATTCATTAATACACTAGTATTAGGTAGTGGGTATTTATGAGGTATGCTTTAATTTTCGTTCTAATCCTTTGTTGGCTCTAAAAAAATTGGCTAGAAAGTTTGATTTGATTTTGTATTTTTGTCATCTGAGAAGCATAACTAAGAGGGAGGACATTCAGTTTTGGCTCTGCCCACAGATTCTTTGTGGGATAAGGTCTACTCAGTGGTTAGATCGATTCCACTAGCCAGTCATGGAAGTAGTTTTGTTACCATTTTTGCCAGTCTCTGTGTTCGCACGTTATCTACATTATCTAATTTAGTCGTAACAACCACCCTGTGAGGCAAGTAGTTGAGCCTCCATTTTAAAAATGAGGACTCTGAACCTCAGACATGCTAGATGCGCTGCGTAAGCCCACCCAGCTGGTGAGAGTGGGGCTGGTATTCAGAGGGAGGCCCGTCTCTCTCCAAAGCCCACTCAGCACAGACAGCTGGGCCTCAGAGTAGCTCCAGTTTCCAACATGAAGCCTTGTCTTCGTCAGTGCTAGGGTTTCCTTCCACCTGCCCCCTTTCCCAACTTGGAATGCAGTCACTTTCCTTTTTTATTATTTTTTTAATTTTAAAAATTTTTTAAGGACAGGGTCTTGCTATGTTGCCCAGGCTGGCCTTGAACTCCTGGGCTCAAGCAATCCTCCTGCCTCGGCCTCCCAAAGGGCTGGGATTTCAGGCATGAGCCACCACACCAGGCGTGCTGTCACTTTTCATAATCTTTTGGCATTTTTGTCAAAGCAAGTACAAAGGCCTTGTCTGTGATTCTTGGTCTCTCCCTATAGGCTTTTGTCCAACAGGATTGGTTACTAAGCCATATACTGTATACCCATTGCTAAAAGCAATGATCCAATGGTGGATCATTAAAGTTTTTTCCTTATTAAAAAGAGTGTTATTGTGTTCCACTAAAAATTGTCCTCTTGGCCTCAAGTATCCAAGTTACACTCATGAGTCCTATGGAGCAATATCACATGTGCTTTTTAACTTCAGAAAATTCTGCTGGAGATTCTTAGCCAAAAAGGAGAGTAAGAAATCACAATTTACAGCAATTCAGTATAAAATATTTAATTTAATATATCTATTTAATTCAGTATACAATATTTTAATTTTTAACTTAAAAAGCATACATTACTATATGCATCATACGTTTGTGCATTCATCTTGCTTACTAAGAGTGCATTCGGAAAACCATGCGTACTGCCCTTTCTGGGTGATTTAAGGAAGAGTCATGAGTGTTTTTTACTCTAAGGATTTTTTTTTTTGGTTTACCTACCAGTATAGAGCTGAACTCTCACATAAAATGTGATCCCTGTGGCATCCTTACAGAGGGTATCATCTCTCTCTTGTACTGAAAGGACATGGGCTGTGGGCTCTCTAAATACCTGCCTTGCTTTTGTTTCCCAGTGAAAGATTTTCAAGTCAACATTACAGCTGACAGCTTGTTTGCTGAAGGGAAATCCTTAGAACTGGTTTGCCTGGTTGTAGGCAGTGGCCGTGACCCACAGCTTCAAGGCATTTGGTTCTTCAATGGGACTGAAATTGCTCACATTGATGCTGGTGGAGTCCTGGGCCTGAAGAATGACTACAAAGAGAGAGCAAGTCAAGGAGAGCTCCAGGTCTCAAAGTTAGGCCCCAAGGCTTTCTCTCTCAAGATCTTCTCTCTGGGCCCAGAGGATGAAGGCACCTACAGATGTGTGGTAGCAGAGGTCGCGAAAACACGCACAGGTTCCTGGCAGGTGCTTCAGAGAAAGCAGTCACCAGACAGCCACGTGCACCTGAGGAAGCCAGCAGGTATGTGAAGTCAAGACCCGGCATGCACTGGGCTGCTTTCAGATGTCCCCTCGTCAGTAGAAGACCCCCTTGTGGATACAATGGGGATCTTCATGAAGAGCAGGTTTCAATCAGATCATATTGGAGGTGGAGTGGAGTGGAGTAAAGGAAGGCACCCAAACTAGCTGGAGACCCGAGTCCTATTCCTGAGTCATTACTTAGGCTGCGACCATGAACACACCACTTTACGTCTCTAAGTCTCAGCTCCCTCATCTGTAAAATGATGGCACACAACTAGATGGTCTTTAAGTTCCTTCTTGCTGGCTTAGAGTCTAAGCCCTCTGCCGTGTGTGTGTGTGTGTGTGTGTGTGTGTGTGTGTGTGTGAGAGATATGAATAGGTTAAGAGTAAAAAGCTACACTTTGTCCTCCTTCCTGGGGAATGAACACCCATGTTATCCTACCTTGAGACTCTGCTGGCATTTTTCAATTGCCTTCTGTTAATCTCCTACTATGTCAACCTGGTGTGGGAGATAGTACTTAGTCATAATTCTGACTCACAGTAAGAAACGAAGAGGTAATTGATAGTGGGCAGACTCCATCCTCTGCATTTTGCTGTGATGTGGTGAGACGCCGGTCCAAATGGTTCTGAGTGTCTGCAAGCACAGAACTGAGGAAACCACGCAGTTTACCTTTACTTTATGAAGGTTGGGCGACTTTAAACATGTTTAAATAATCATTGCCTTTTGTGTGGAGAAAAACAGACAAATCTACAACTAATATAAGGATCCACTAGGCTGGGTTTAAATTCAAAGTCCAGAAAGATTAATTGCCCCAAAATTTTTTTAATGTTTTAAATGTTTAAAAACTGAGCTGAAAATAAAGATGTCCTTGTTGCACTGGCTTATTGGAGACATCTCCAAAGATAGATAAATTTTCCTTTCATGTTCTCCAATACGCCATTTACTAGGAATGAAGATGCACTGATTTGGCCTTGAGTGGCAGGCCAGGAGGTGTGTTGTGTTCACTTTCACACTAAACATTTGGTCTGACTTTCTAGAATTCAGGAAAAACAATATAGGTAGGGTTTACATATTTATGCAGAGATAAGTTTCTGCTTTATGCATCTCAGCCTTCTCTGGAACATATCTGCAGGCTTTTGTAAACCTGGTATGTGGGAATTTCACCCAAAGGGGAACTTCAGGGTACACAGCTGATAATCCTATCAATAGGGTCATCTTCTAAAACTAAAAATAGTTCTTTGTATAGGCTGGAGTCTACACTGGGCTTACTATGTAGATGCAGAAAAAGTTATTAGCAAATTTATTAAGGATCCTATTTAGCATTCTGTTTTGAAAGTCAAACGTTACTCGAAGTATTAGCAACATTTCATCATTTATGAATATTTTAATCACCCATTACCGTTGTGAATGTGTAACTTACATACATTTCGTAAGTTTATTACTTCTTACCAAAAGGCAGTAATGGCCACAATGAACTAAGGAAACATCATTAAAAAAAAAAAAAAATCATGTTAGTTTAAACTAATCATCATGGTTATCTTAAAGTGGTGAGATTATGAGTAATAATTTCCCCTCCAATTTCTAAACTTCAGTTATGAGTCTATTTTTAACTTGAAAAAAATTAAATTTGAAAGCAGATTTGCTCTTTTAAAAAACATATTTATGGACATTAACCTTCATTCTGTCTTTGTTACTTATGTATATGTATGCATAAAACAGTCAAAGACTGAACTCCTTCCTCCGCAGGGAAGAACAATTTGCAAATTCATTTAGATCCTATTTAGATTTCTAATGCCAGTTCTATTTTATTTTCCTCTTTTGCTTTGAATTACCTCTGCTTTTGCCAGAGCCTATCATTAAACACTAATGCTAGCAGCTAACCTTTACTAAGTACTTTCCCTAGCCATCCAGGCTAAGCTCTTTGCATGTGCCATTTGTTCAGTCTTCTCAACAATGCAGCAAGGTGAGCACTATTATTATCTTCATTTTTACAGAAAAGAAAACTGAGGCTCAGAGAGGTCAAATATGTTGCCCAGGGCAATTCTGACTCCAGGAGCCGTGGCCTTAAATTAGTGCTGGGCTGCCTAGAATGTACAATCTCCTGCTGTATCTCTACATTGCTCACAAAGCAACCAGGACAAGACCTTGCAGAATTCATGTTTGTTGAATGAATGTGTTTGTTGAATGATGACTTGAATTTCCCATCTGAGAGTTAGATTTACATTTATGGTTTTACACTGTAGTTTAGACATAAGAAGCCTCTCTGTTTACAACAACGTGTATATGTATATATACATGTATTTTCCCCCCAAGTAATTATTTTTTATAGTAATATTGTGAACAGAGATGTAATTAACAATGTTTCTTCCTCATTCAAAACACTTACTAAACCAATTAGCTTGATTAGGGAAAGATAAGAAAGAGGAAGATCTTTTTGAACTCTGAAGGTCCGAATTCTAAAAAACTAAAAATTTAAATAAACACAGCTTTATTACTTTCAGGCTCTTACATCTACCCTAATTAATATACTAAAACATTTCCAGATGTTTGGCCAACTAGATATCCTTAAGGAAGAGTTGATTTAACAAACTAATAAAAAATACGTGCAAGTGATAAATGGCTTAAGTAAGCTGGGCACAGTGGCTCATGCCTGTAATCCCAGCCCTTTAGGAGGCTGAGACAGGAGGATTGCTTGAGGCCAGAAGTTCAACACCAGCCTAGGTAACAAAGAGAGACCCTATCTCTGCAAAAAATTTAAAAATTAGCCAGCGTGGTGGCACGTGTCTGTAGTCCCAGCTACTGAGGCACGAGGCAGGAGGATCGCTTGAGCCAAGGAGTTTGAGGTTGCAGTGAGTTAAGATCACAGTGCTGTGTTCCAGCCTGCACAACAGAGCAAGACCCAGTCTTTAGAAATAAATAAATTGTTTAAGGGTAAATACATCCTCCGATATTCTTTCTGCTATCTTGTTTCCACTATTTAAGTGTTTGGCAAATCTTTTGCCGGAGGGTGGTGCAAGAGGAAACAGCCCGATTTGACTTGTCACAAACTAGTCAAGTCCTAATTAATGAGATTTCACTGTATTTTAGAAAATTTCTTATTTACCTAAAACAGTTTTTTTCTTCTATAATCTGTAACAGCAAGAAGTGTGGTCGTGTCTATCAAGAACAAGCAGCAAGTTGTGTGGGAAGGAGAGACCCTCGCCCTTCTCTGTAAGGCTGGTGGAGCTGAAAGTCCCCTGTCTGTGAGCTGGTGGCACATCCCACAGGATCAGACACAGCCCGAGTTTGTGGCTGGCATGGGGCAGGATGGCACTGTGCAGCTGGGTGCCTCCTATGGGGGACCCGGTTACCATGGCAACACAAGGTTGGAGAAAGTGGACTGGGCCACCTTCCAGCTGGAGATCACCTTCACTGCCATCACAGACAGTGGCACATATGAGTGCAGAGTATCTGAGAAGTCTCGGAACCAGGCCAGAGATCTGAGCTGGACTCAGAAGATTTCAGTTACTGTAAAGTCTCTGGGTAAGTGTCAGAGGAAGTCCTTTTCTGCACCTGTATATCACTCAATTCATTCTGCAGTGGAATTGGATTGCGTGTTATCCTGAATCCCCCAGTGATGGTATGTGTACCCTAGGACACAGAGCATAGTCTCTGGCTACCCTCTCTGTCAATCAATCTTTAAAGTTTCTTCATCTTTGTAAAGATCATCTTTAGGGTGCAGCTTGTAAATTGTTGTTCAAAGTTAAAAACAAAACCCTATGAATCAGCTTATAGATGAGTATAGCTGAGCCTCATATCTTCTGGCTTTTGAGAGCTGCAGCCCTGGGATTGCAGAGCCCATTGGAGCATGTGCAAAAAAAAAAGGGTTCTGATACTGAACCCTCGCGTGGGGGTAAGGGAAGGAGGCCAGACATCTGGGGTGGGGAGTGCTCCACCCACTCAGCAGCAGCTGTCTAAGTAGCAGATTGGGGAAACACTGCCTATTTGTTGTGGCTGCTGGGAACAGTCTTAGAAGAGGATCAACTTTGCAAAATTGAGGTCAGAGTTCAGGACAGACTGTACTGAGAATCAACTTCTACTCTATAAAATATAAAACTCCAGATGTACAAATGCATGGTCCTACTCAAAGAGGTGGCAACTAGAAAAACCTGAAAGTGCTGTATTTTAATCTGGTACATATATTAGAAATTATGTTTCATTTTTCTGTCTAGAGTCAAGTTTACAAGTTAGTCTGATGAGCCGTCAGCCACAAGTGACGTTAACCAACACCTTTGACCTGTCCTGCGTCTTGGGGACTGGTTACTCTGACCTCAAGGTGCCACTCACTGTGACGTGGCAGTTCCGGCCAGCTAGCTCTCACGTCTTCCACCAGCTTATTCGAATTACCCACAATGGCACTATTGAATGGGGGAATTTCCTATCCCAGTTCCATAAGAAGACGAAAGTTTCACAGTCTTTATTTCGTTCACAACTCCTGGTGCATGATGCCACTGAGGAAGAGACAGGAGTGTATCAGTGTAAAGTAGAAATTTATGACAGAAATTCCCTATACAACAACCACCCTCCGAGGGCTTCTGCCATCTCTCACCCATTGAGAATAGCGGTCACTTTACCAGGTAAGTGTGACTTGAAATTAATCCCTGCTTTAAAAACAAACATTCTGGGTAAGTTATAACAATAAAACATAAAATACTTTCTCCCATATTTGTTCTATCTAAGTAAGCACCACATAATGAATGATACCCAGGTTAACATTGAGTTAGTATGCACGGGTTGGCCATACTGGTGGTTAAAACATTGAAATACCTTCCATGTCGGCTAATTGCTGCTCTCTATCCATTCCCCATTTTCCTCTAAGTTCCCACCATCCAGCAACTAAAGGGTACCACGTGGCACAGCAGGGGGCCTCTAGGACCTGGCTCCGGGGGAGAAGATACGTTTTGGATTGGTCACGGTCCAGGCCTTACCAGTTAGTAAACATTTGCAATGTCTCTGCTGGTGGTAGGGATAAGGTAAATTCCACTGGAATACATCCACCTACTTATTTGTAAGGTGTTAATGTATAAGAGTCAGAAAATTTATTATTACAATCACATATAATCCATCTCATCAACTGATAATAGAGCACAGGAGATAAAAGTGAGATACCACCTAGGCAAAGTTCTGCTGTGTCATGTATCTTCTCTCTCATAGTCTGCATTCTCTTAGGACAGAGTGATGGAGAGACATTGAATTATTTAGATCTGACAATCACTGGATAGCAGAACAGCTTTGGATGAGCCACCTGATCTGCTCAAGCCTTAGTTACCTGATCTGTAAATTGTTAATGTGCAATTTAAATATGGTAACATATATAACATGCTGAGTACCTGACATACCAAGATGATGCTCAAACGTGGTCGCTGTCATTCTCGCTGCCGCTGTGCAACATTTTTGGTAATAGTAATGATCCCCTTGTTCTTGAATTCATGCTTAATTAATTTGCCCTCTCTGTGGTATTTGCAACTGCTGCCCCAGTCTGTCTTCTTGAAACTTCCTTTTTCCTTGGCACCATGACACAAGATTTTCTCCTCCACTGATTTATTCTTTAAAGAAAATAGTTTCTCTGGATTTTATTCTTAGCTTTGATCTCTTTTCATTCTATACGCTTTCCTGCAGTGGACTCATCCCTACCTATGGATACAACCTGTATGTTCACAACTCCCAAATTCATTATCTTGACCAATTTCTCCTCTGATCTCCAGACTCATATATCCAGCTGTCTCCAAGACATGTCTGCACTCATTATGTCAAAACATAAACCCCCCATTATCATCCAAAGCTCTTCCTTCTACATTGCCCCTTATGTCCCCACTCCCCATCAGTGACCCAAGTTGAAAACCTGAGTCATCACAACTCTTATGTTCACCTTGTATCTAAACTCCCATAGTGTGACATGCAAGGCCCTTTATCATCTGGTACGTTTGTGTCTTTCCAGCATCATCTCCTTCAACTTTCCATCGTGAATTTGAGCTTCAGTCACACTGAATTACTTGCAGCTCCTCAATAGTCCATGTTCCCTCTCACTTTCAAAATCTTTGGTCAAGTTGCATCTTTTGTGCAGAAATCCTTAACCTCTTCTCCATCAGAATAATTCCTATAAACCCTTAAGACTCAGCTCAGAATTATCCCTCCAGGAAGTCTCCCCTCACTCCTGTATTTGGGCTAGGAGACCCTGCTGTGTGCTCAGATAGGCACTTCTACATACCTCTGTCTTAACATGAGGGACATGAGGAACAAAAATTGTACACTGAGGCCAGAGGTGGCTCACACCTGTAATCCCACACTTTGGGAGGCCAAGGCAGGCGGATCACCTGAGGTCAGGAGTTTGAGACCAGTCCGGCCAACATAGTGAAACCCCGTCTCTACTGAAAATGCACAAATTAGCCAGGTGTGGTGGTGTGCACCTGTAGTCCCAGCTACTCAGGAGGCTGAGGCACGAGAATCACTCTGCACAGGAAGTGGAGGTTGCAGTGAGCCAAGATCATGACACTGCACTCCAGCCTGGGCGACAGAGCAAGACTCCATCTCAAACAAAACAACCAAAAATTTCACACTTGAGAAAGGTTTCTCAAGACTTATTTCAGCTCCACATTGTAAATGCGGAAGACAGCGATCAGGGCAAATATCACTGTGCTGTGGTAGAGTGGCTGTCTGTCTACAAATGGCACTTGGCACCATCTCTAAGCCTCTGTCCCTGTACTTGTCTCCCTCTAGAGTGTGAGCCACTGAGGGAAGATATCCACAGGGCCTGGAATTGTCTGGCACATACTATAGTGTGTGCTTCATAAATGTTTGCTGAAGGAAGAGTAAAGAGACCTACTGGCAACACCAATAAGCAGTTACAAAAGTAGAGTGGGTGATGTGAGCAAGACGTGAGAAGAAGATTTGGGAACAAGGATGGTCACTTATCTTTCTGACAAAGCAGAAAAGCTGCTGGGGTCAAAGATTAGTTGACTCCACATCCATACGATGTTTCCACAGTTAAGTGGCTGCAAAGATGCACACAGTTTTAATCACTCATGTACAACTTCCTTTTGTTTACCCGTGTTTGAAGGCAGATACAACTAGAGTTTGAAAATTGTGAATCCAGAAGTACTCTGCATAGTAAACACACAAACACAGCATTAATAGGGCCACTTTCTCCCAATCTGATACATGAATGTGACAGAAGAGATGCTTGTGCTTATACTGAAGCAGTATCATGTGGAAGAGAGATACTGGGCTTGTCTGTGTGACACTCCCTCTGCCACACCACCCCTACCAAGCACAGGTAGCACTAGGACTAGTGGATGGTAGTCATGAAGAGATAAAATTCAACTTGATATCAGAAAGCATTCTGGAGTGGCAGAGCTGTCCAAAGATGAAATGGGCTGCCTTGTCAGCTAGTGATGTTGGTCAAAAGCTGGATGAGCAGTGAGTGGGGCTACGGTAGAGGGAGTTCACCCATATGATGGCGGGAGGATGCAGTGTCATACTTGACCTCTAATGTCTCTACTACCTTAACTTTCTGTTTTGTAGCAAAGTAACTGTTTCCATTTTTTAAATTTAGAGAGCAAGCTAAAAGTGAATTCAAGGAGTCAAGTCCAAGAGCTCTCCATCAACTCCAACACTGATATAGAATGTAGCATCTTGTCCCGGTCCAGTGGAAACCTTCAGTTAGCCATCATTTGGTATTTTTCTCCTATTTCCACTAATGCCTCCTGGCTAAAGATCCTGGAGGTGGACCAAACCAATGTTATAAAAACTGGGGATGAGTTTCACACCTCATGGAGAAAACAAAAATTTCATACTGAGAAGGTTTCCCAAGACTTATTTCAGCTGCACATTCTGAATGTGGAAGACAGCGATCAGGGCAGATATCACTGTGCTGTGGAGGAATGGCTCCTGTCTACAAATGGCACTTGGCACAAGCTTGGAGAAAAGAAGTCAGGACTAACAGAATTGAAACTCAAGCCCACAGGTAAACCTTGAGGGTGTATCCTCACCATGTCTGTCTGTCCGATGGCTGTTTTTTCTTGGGCAGCTCTTCTATGGAGTGATTATGTGGGAGTAAAAATATGACCTAAAGTCATAGGAACAGTGTCCACCTACAAATGACTGCAGGACCGGGCCGTCCACCAGAGGAGGGGAGGTCACTTAAGGTGATTCAATCTGAGGTTTTGGGGAGCTGAGGTAGAAGCAAGATCCCTTTGATTGGTTCGCTTCTCAGCCTGGCAGCCTAGTCTATGCAGCTACCCAGGGTATGGTATCTCCAGATCTCTATAATAGCAAGCTGTGTCATTCCAGTGGGGCTCTACTGTAATTTGGCAGAGAAAGAGTAATACGAAGCATATTTCTCCCACTGTGAACAGAAACTGTACAACTCTATGGGGATGTGTGGAGAAATTGCTTCTCAACATTTAGCTGCCTAAACATAAGGCAAATAAGAGTAGTTAACTGTTGGAATGGCTTACTGAAGGAGTCTCCTCTTCCTCAGGAGATCTTTAAAAATGCAATGGAAGTTCCGCACTGGTCTAAGAGTGCTGCTGTCTAAATGCGGGCAGGGTGATTAGGTCTCTCAGCATAGGTTAGGTCACCTCCAGTGTTGATTAAAATTAAATGAACGTCACAGCCAAGGTTGGGGAACTGGCCAAGATCCAACAGCACAATGCAGAGAAGTTGATCTAATTTGGTGCTTAAAATATTATTTTCAAGGTAATGTTAAAAAAAAAAAAAAAAAGGATGATAATTCAACATTACTATGTATTAGGCAATGGAATACAAAGATAAAGAAGGCACAGCCCTGGCCCTTAAGGAGCTCCCAGTCTGGTGGGACAACAAGGGCAAAACAGCAGCTTGGTATGGGATCTCTTCCTGCCCTCTGGCTTCCCTTCTCTATGTTCTTCAAGCCCCTTCTTCTCCCTGCTAAATGCATGTGTTCCTCAGGGACAGATCCTGGGCCTGTTTTGCTTCTTATTCTCTGCTTTCCTCAGAATTTCTTAAATACTGCCCTGGTTTCAACTACCATGTTCTGGATGATAACCCTGAGATTTTGTGCTTAGTCCTGATCTCCTGAGCTCCAAGTCTTCATACCCAACTGCCTGCTGTACATTTCTACTTGGATGCCCCCATACTCAGCATGCCCTGAATTGCACTTAGCATCTCTGCCATCTCACCATGCTCGTTTGTACTTCTGCATTTCCCATCTGTGTGATTGGCATTCTGTCTCCCAGTTATCCATGCCAAACCCTTGACCACATGTGCATGCCCCTCGTCAGGAGGCAGCCACTGCTTAGCTCAAGTGCCTCCCATGTACAAATGTGGACTCTGTGTTGTCAGATCTTTTTGCATATCTACAGATGCCTAAAATCTTTTTTGGTAACATCTCCCAGTTTGAGAATGTCCACAACTAATTCACTTCTTTTTTTTTTTTTTAGACAGTCTGGCTCTGTCACTCAGGCTGGATTCAGTGGTGTGATCTTGGCTCACTGCAACCTCCATCTCCCGGGTTCAAGCAATTCTCCTGCCTCAGCCTCCAGAGTAGCTGGGACTACAGGCGTGCGCCACCATGCCCAGCTAATTTTTGTAATTTTAGTAGAGACGGGGTTTCACCATATTGGCCAGGCTGGTCTCAAACTCCTGATCTCGTGATCTACCTGCCTTGGCCTCCCAAAGTTCTGGGATTATAGGCATGAGCCACTGCGCCTGGCCTAGTTCTTTTAAAATACTGCAAGTGTCCAGCAGAACATACCTGTGGGCTTGGCGTGGCTGTGGACTTCTGGTTGTGCACGTCGTTTAGGGAACAAGTTAACGAAGAGGCCCCAGAAGGATGCTGAGAATGACTGGTCAGAGTTGTAAAAAGGATATTTTATCTGAGATAGGAAAAAAAGAAGTCAATTTCAAGGAGAAAATGGACTCCAGTAACAAAAACCACATAGATCAAAGGACTAGAGGGTCCCTTGAACTGGGAAATTAGGCCCTGGCCAAGTATAGTGATGGGATTGGAAGCCAGATCACAATAAAATAGGAAGTAATATGAGGCAAGGAAACAGCAACAGTATCACATAAGCTAATATTCCATGTGCTTCTCCATGAAGGAGAGAGTAAACATGGTAACTAAGAAAGAGTCCAAGATCAGACAGAATTATTCTCTTAAAGACAGATTAATAAATGTGTTAGGGCCGGGCATAGTGGCTCATGCCTATAATCCCAGCACTTTGGGAGGCCAAGGCGGGTGGATCACCTGAGGTCAGGAGTTCGAGACCAGCCTGGCCAACATGGTAAACCCTCGTCTCCACTAAAAATACAAAAATTAGCCCCCTGCCTGTAATCCCAGCTACTTGGGAAGCTAAGGCAGGAGAATCACTTGAACCCGGGAGGCAGAGGTTGCAGTGAGCTGAGATTGTGCCGTTGCACTCCAGCCTGGGCGGCAGAGTGAGACTCCATCTCAAAAAAATATAAATAAATAAATAAATAAATAAATAAATGTGTTTGTAGTAGAATTGTAGTAATGCACGCTATAATTTCTTTATTTTGTTTGTAACTACTTTAGCCTTCATTCTAAATCCTCACCTGCTGGTTAGCAAGGGGGAAAAAGGTAAATGTCAAAATCTGTTTAAAACTTAGTCTAATCCAATCATCTACATAGTTCCCTTGGACGCCTTTCTAACACTTGCATCAAATGTTCAGTCTCTCGGATGGCCTCCTCTCTTTCTGCATCTACACCCAGGTAATATCTGGGTGGATGGGAGGAGAGTAATTTGCTAAGAATGAGGGGTCCTGGTGGAATACATGGCTTGAGGGAGCTGCTAAAAGTTGTGAACGACCACTTTGGGAAGTAGAGGAGGAGTGAATCAAGGATAAATAAAAGCAGCAGGCAGAGGGCCCTGCAGCAGCTGTGTAGTTTTCAATGGCAGGGTCCAGCAGGCAAGCAGTTGGGCTAAAGAAGGAAAGAGACTGGTTTCATTCCTAGCAGAGAATGTTCTGGCAAATGTGAAAAACAGGGACCAAGGACAAGGATTAAAATGAATGTGTCCAGGCGCCGTGGCTCACGCCTATAATCCCAACACTTTGGGAGGCTGAGGTGGGCAGATCACTTGAAGCCAGGAGTTCAAGAGCAACCTGGCCAACATGGTGAAACCCCGTCTCTACTAAAAATACAAAAAATCAGCTGGGCATGGTGGCACACACCTGTAATCCCAGCTACTTGGGAGGCTGAGGCAGGAGAATTGCTTGAAACCAGGAGGCAGTGGTTGCAGTGAGCCGAGATCGTGCTGCTGCACCCCAGCCTGGGTGACAGAGCAAGACTCTGTCTCAAAAAATAAAAATAAAATAAATGCACTGATGTCTAAAGAATATAAGAGCTTCCCAGTGAGAACTAGATTTTTCAGAGGTGGTATCCAATCTGAACATCTGCATTCTCTAATTTACTGCCATTTTATTGTCTAGGGAGTAAGGTACGTGTCTCCAAAGTGTACTGGACCGAAAATGTGACCGAGCACAGAGAGGTGGCCATCCACTGCAGCCTGGAGAGTGTAGGCAGCCCAGCCGCTCTGTACTCTGTGATGTGGTACTGGAACAGAGAAAACTCTGGAAGTAAAATGCTGGTGCACTTGCAACATGATGGCTTGCTGGAGTATGGGGAAGAGGGGCTTAGGAGGCACCTGCACTGTTACCGTTCATCCCCTACAGACTTTGTCCTGAAGCTTCATCAGGTGGAGATGGAGGATGCAGGAATGTACTGGTGTAGGGTGGCAGAGTGGCAGCTCCATGGACACCCAAGCAGGTGGATTAATCAAGCATCCGATGAGTCACAGCGGATGGTGCTCACGGTGCTGCCTTCAGGTAACCGGGGGTTTATCTACCGTGAGCTCATGGTCAGGAGGATACATGGCTCTCCTCTTATGCTCTCCCTCTCACCTATCTTTTGCTCCTTCTTCAGACTGAAGACAATTTTCAGGTTCCCTAAAGAAGATGACTTTGCTATCTCTCTCAATAGTAACTCATTTGAACAAACAAGGTTCACATGAGGTTTTGGCACAGACGCTTAAGTATCAGGAGCATCTGACAGGTCCATGTCTTTCTGCTGGGGTTCAAGGAGAAGGCGGGAGGTGAGCAATAAGCTAAGCTTACTGAGGGAAAGGGCCATTGGAGAAGTAGGGGTGTGGTCTTGGTGCCAGACACCAGGAAGCATAAAGGGAAAATCATCAATAAAGGTAACAATCCTGAGACACCAGCTAGCTTTAGTGACACTCCTTGGGAAGGACAGAATGCTGTTGAGAACATATGGGAACATCTAAGAAGTAGGGATAGGTGCATCCCAGCCCAGCAGGGCTTCCAGAGGGGAAGGTGAGGCTATCCAATTTGTTCCTTGAGGGGGTTCATCATTGTTTTTCCGTGTTCATTCTTCAGCGAAGTTTTCTCCTGAGTGCCAGGCAGAAATGTTTTTTCTATCAGCCTTTTTTTTTCTTTCCAACAATTACAGGAGTCCCATACTTGTGAGCACATTCCGTACATGTTTTCCCAGTGGAATTCATAGACTCTGTAGAATCGGCAGTTTTTGCAGTAGAATAAATAGATAAGAACCGTAAAAAGTATACAGTCTGTGATGAAAAGCATGTCTTCTCTGAGGCAGATGGGATCCTTCATAGCATACATATTGTTAATCTTTGTGAGATCCTTATAAAACAGGTATATGGTTTTTAAAAGATAAACCTGGAAAGAAAACATTAAAAATTGAGTGGCCTTTGTATTCTTCAGAAAGCCTTTGTCATGACAAACTGAGGGTTTTGAGGGTAATGAATGTTGAGGATTTCCAAGGAAATCCCTGTAATGTAGCATCTGGGCTCCTCTACCTGGCTGTTCCTTTCTGGTAGTCAGGGAGGCAGTGTGGGTGATAAAAAATCCCAGGGGCTGGAATCAGACCAGCCTAAGCTCAAATCACAGCTCTACTACCAATACCAGCTATGAAATCATACTCTGGTTACTTGCTGTGAGCCTCATCTTTCTATAAAATGAAGATCATAATATAAATATATATATAAAGTATCCAGTACAGTGCCTGGCACATGGTCAGTACTCAGCAAATGTAATCTTCTTCTCCCCTTATGCCTCCAAACATGCAGCACATACACATACACACAGGTATACACACATCTACATGTGTACATCTATGTGACAAAATAATGGCATCTGTTTAATAAATAACTATATGAGGTTCTGAGGGCACAAAAGTGTATATACAGAGTCTGTTCCCACAGAGCTTAGAGTCCAGTGGGAGAAATCAAGTCCAACATAATAGGTGTCTTCAAAGAGGTATTTCCCGTAGACTATGGGAACAACAGAGGCAGGGCTGGGGTGAAGGGCTAGGTAGGGAGGCAATCTGGGAAGGTTCCCCAGAGTCTGGGGCTCATGAAAAGGAAGAAACTTATTTTAGGAAAATGAAAGAGTATGCAAGATGATAGTAAGATGTAAAATGTCATGTTATATTCGGGGAACTCCTGGTCATTGAGAATGGCAGGAACTGCAGTCTCTATGGTACAATAGCAAGAGATGAGACCAGTGAGGTGGAGAAGGTACAGATAGATCCCAAATGTGTCTAGAGTATGAAGCTAAGAAGAAAGAACTTTATCATGACAGTGATGAAGTTTCATTGAAAAAGTTTAAGCAGGGAAGTGACATGATCAGGTTTTCCTTTTAGAAAGTTCCCACATTAAAATGAATTGGAGGCCGAGCACGGTGGCTCACGCATGTAATCCCAGCACTTTGGGAGGCCGAGGCGGGCAGATCACCTGACGTTGGGAGTTTGAGACCAGCCTGACCAACATGGAGAAACCCCGTTTGTACTAAAAATACAAAAAATTAGCCGGGCGTGGTGGTGCATGCCTGTAATTCCAGCTACTCGGGAGGCTGAGGCAGAAGGATCGCTTGAACCCACGAGCGGAAGGTTGCGGTGAGCCGAGATCATGCCATTGCACTCCAGCCTGGGCAACAAGAGTGAAACTCTGTCTCAAAAAAATAAATAAATAAATAAATAAATAAATAAATAAATAAATAAATAAAGAATTGGAGGGGAGGCCAACAGTGCAGGGAGAAGTATATGAAATGTTGGAAACCCAGTTGGGAAAAGGTGAAGGCCTGAGCTAAGGCAGTACCCATGATGACTAAGAAAAGAACAGGCATTAGGTATTAGGAGATGTCATCTTCAGGATTTAGAGGCCGATTCATTGTATATAGAGGGCAAATGAGCAGACAGAGAGAATTAAGGATTAACATCTGGATTCTAGCTTAGATGGATAGTAGGGCCATTTACCAAGCAAGGTAATGTATGACAGGAGTTTGGAGGGGAAGATTAGTTCAGTTTTGAATAAGTTGGGCTGGAATTGAGTTCAGAGTACCTGTGAGTTATTGATAAAGATCTGTCCAATAGACATCAAGACTTCCAAATGGGATCTGCACCAGAGTTGTAGATTAGAAGTCATCCATTGGTAGCCAATAATGATGCCCAAGGGTGGAGCTCTGGGATAAACTACCGTTTCTCAGGGAGTGGAGAGCCTGTGAAGGAGACTGATAGGAGTGATAGGTTGCCGGGAAGAGAATCAGGATTTGGTGGTACCACAGACACTAAAGGCAGAGAGGGTATCAAGAGGATGAGGAGAGTTGACAGACTCAGCTCTTGCAAAGAGGTTGATTAAGATAACAGTGGGAAAGTATCCATTGGATTTGACATTGTGGAACAATTACAGAAAAGTAATCAGGGAAGTCAGACTGCAGCAAGTTGAGGAGGGGAGAGTGGGCCCGTTAATGCAGATTGCGCTTTCAAGAGCTTTGATGTCAAGGGGAAGAGAGAAGAAAATAAAATGGCAAAAGTTATCCAGAAAAAGTGAAAGTGTTTTAGTTTTGCTTTTTTTCTGTTTTGGTTTGAAGATGGTACAGATTTGAGCACATTTATGTTTTAGAGGGGAGAAAGCCAGCAGAAAGAAAGAGAGAAAGAGAGATAGGAAGGAAGGAAGGAAGGAAGGAAGGAAGGAAGGAAGGAAGGAAGGAAGGAAGGAAGGAAGGAAGGAAGGAAGGAAAGGAAGGAAAGGAAGGAAGGGAAAGATTAATAGAAGAGTAGATACGACTGACAGTCCAACATCTCACCATGCATGCACCATCTCCTTTCTGGAATGCTCCTGCATGCCATCTTTCCCTGGTCAACACCCTCACCCAGCAACTTAACTGCCACTGCCTCAGAGACTTCCCTTATTCTTTTAGCCCTCACACCTGCAGTTACCTGTTTAACATCTGTCACACTGCTAGACTATACTATAGGCAAAGATGATGAGTGTCTCATTTGTAGCACTAGCACAGTGCCTGGCACATAGGGGATGCTCAAATGTTTACTGAATCATTGTGTAATTGCACTCCTGGTGAGTACCAGGTCTATGTGTTATCAAGATCCAGTTCAAATATAATATGCTACTTATGGTCACTTATCAGATGATTTTTCGTGCTCTCTATCTGGCTCTCCCAGCTTGGGCTGGGTTTAGGGCCACACAATAGGACTGTAGAGCGTGTGGCTCAAGTGAAGGCAGGAAAGTTAAGAGACATTTTTTCGGAGAATGGACCTTGCCTTTTCTTCTCTATCTCTCTATCTTATTTCCTTACCAATGACTAAGCCATGGCAGGGACAACAGCTGCCTCAGTCTTTTTACCTTACCCTTAGACCCTAGACATAAATGTCTTATTCTAGAGAATTGTCTGTGATTAATTGATAGGCCAGGCTGTAAGGCTTCCTGGGAACTGAATTATTTGTAGTGGTGTGGTACTTGTTACTATTTCCGAGCTTTTATTAGGGTAAGAGTCTATTTAGAAAGTAGAGCCTTGGGCCAGATGTGATGGCTCCCATCTGTAATCCCAGCACTTTGGGAGGCCGAGGCGGGAGTATTACTTGAGCCCAGGAGTTCGAGACCCCTGTCTCTACAAAAAATTTAAAAATTAGACACATGGTTGATACACGCCTGTAGTCCTTGCTACTCAAAAGGCTGAGATGGGAGGATTGCTTGAGTTTGGAGGTCAAGGCTGCAGTAAGCCACGATCATGCCACTTCGCTCCCGTCTGGATGACAGAGCAAGACACTGTCAAAAAAAAAAAAAACAACGGGAGAGAAAGAGAAAGAAAGAGAAAGAAAAAGAAAGGAAGGAAAGAAGGAAGGAAGGAAGGAAGGATGGAAGGAAGGAAGGAAGGGAGGGAGGGAGGAAGGAAGAAAGAAAGAAAGAAAAAAAGGGAAAGGAGAGAAGGGAAGGGAAGGAAGTGGATTCTTGAAGGAGCTGTCTGTCTCTATCACACGGAAGTTTTTGGAGATGCCAGGCTACTTACCTGTGCTTCCCAGTGCCTCCAGCAAGGCCTGGCACATGGCATTCAGCAAATGCTTAATGAAAGAATGAGCAGGCAAATCTTCAGTTGGGTTGAAACAGGATGCTGTCAGTGATTCACTTATTCTGGGATGCACTTGTTATCAGGTTACCTTACCCTACTTTTATTTCTTGGCAAGAGCCAACTCCCACATGGCTGCATGTTTGGGGTTGGGTAGTGGGTAAGAGTTGGCAGCCCCCTCTTTATCTCACACCTCTTTTCTTCTGAAGTCAGTGTCTCTGAGGAAATATCAAAAAGGAGTGCTCCTTTTGCTGTGCTTGGCTGTGGGTGGAAGCACATTCTAAACTAAGCCTCACGATGAAGTGCTCTCATTACATTTTTGGCTTTGTTTTGAAGGCCTTGTACTTTGAGCATTGGCCACTGACTCAGATTGATTCAAAATGCCAAACCTTAATGGTTTGAATGTCACTAATTCTAATCCAGATATGGGTGAGAGGCAGATGGTGGGAAATGGTGACTGTGGGATCCAGAGCAAACACTGCCCTCCCAGGAGAGGTGATTTAGCAGCACAGGTGGTAACAGTTGCTAGCTGTTGGCCACTTCAGCATGGTAAGGGGCACACCTTGCCATCCTTTGATGGTAGATTGCGCTAAGCTGAGCAGCCTCATCCCCACCAGGATAGCCAAGCCCTCTGGCTGTTCCTTCATGCTGAAAAACAAGAATAGTAGATTTATTTCCACCTCCTGTGTAGTGGCCCCATCTCGCCATCATTACCCCACCATTCTAGCAACTGTAATACCTGGTGCTGTGGACTTTCACCTCACAATTCTCTGCCTCCCATGAGTAGAAAAGGAAGCCAGAGCCCCTGGATCCACTTCAGTCTTTGCTGAATGTCACCCAGGTTTGAGGACAGGGGGACCAGAGATCTAAGGGAGAGAGAGCCTGTGGAGGAAGATGGCCAAGCCTGGGGTCCCTATGTGAGGGATCTGTAGGCTCCAGCCCTGTTCTCTCTCTCTTCTCTTAGGAGAAGGTTTCCTGTGATTTTCTTAGTTTTTTCAGTAGCATTCTAGATAATATTTATCGCTTGCTGACTCCACAAATGCTTTAGGCACTTCATTAGATATTAGATGCTTTATTATACATGATCTCATCACAACTGTAGAAATTGTTATCCCTATTTGGTTGATGAGGAAACTAATGATTAAGAGAGGATAAGTAACCTGTCCAATGTCAGTAACAGCACATTGAAGACTGAGGATTTGAACTCAGCTCTCTTTGAAACAGAGTAGGTGCTCATTCATTACTCTGCACAAATGCCCACAGCCAGTGCTTGTAATACCTGGACTCCGTGGCTCCATTCACTTGCATCATTGCAGTCTATGCTTCCTTCTCACCGTGGGCCTTTAGATGTACTCAGATAAGACCGGGGGAGAATAACTGTAGTCAAGCAGGGCCATTGGAAGAGGGGTCAGATAGGATGTGGAGCAGAGGGATGGTAGAGAATTCAAAACCTAACTTTATCATTGCTCACCAATTCAAAAAACAAAACCAAATTTAGGATGAAGGATACAAATGAGGTCAGAGAAAATCCAGGCCACAAACCTCTGCAGCTCTTTGCCAGCCTCATTCAGAGCTGCCAGCCGAATGTTCAGTGATGATCTGTACTTTGTGTAGCATGATGGCAGCCATCCCTGGGTTCCCATGTGTGGAATGTGCTCGTGCAATTGATTCATTCATCAGGCTCCATTGAGACCCTGTGAACAAAGAGTTGAGGAAGATAAAAAGACACACAAAACACAGGCCCTACCCTCAAGGAGCTCACAGTGCAGGAGGTGAGCGAATGTCTAGATTCTTTCTTGACTTCCATCAAAGAGATGTTCTTCAACATGTAAGATTCATTGGCAATGCCAAAAATGGAATTCTTGAAGCAGAAGGTTGGTCAAGATGACCTCTAAACCTCTTTTCATCTCTAAGCATCTATAATCCCATGAATCCTGCAGCTTAACCTTTGAAGAAGAAATTGCTTATGTCATTACAATTTTCCAGTAAAAGCACAGCTACTGTTAGCATTGAATATTTCAGAACAGCCCTGATTTCGGATATCATGTCATAAATAGATGTGATTGGAAGACTACATTTAGTCATTGGTCTCTTTAAGCACGTGTCTTTCTGCTTCAAGAGACTGTTCCCTGAAACCTGTGGTGTTTGCAGTCCTCTGGGCCTTTGCTTCCCTGGCTGTGTGGCCAGGAGCCACTCAGGGGCTGCTTGTGTGTGCTCCGTGCGTGTGTCTGCTGCTAGTGCTTCCCGGTGGACAGCAGCTGTGGGATGATCATATGCTTCAGCATGCCTTTATATAGTATCTTTTGCCCATGTGGTTGCAGTCAATCCAATTTAATTCAGATCAGCAAAAGTTGCTGAGCACATGTGCTAGGCACTGTAGGGGATATAGAAACAAATGGCACTATCAGACATACTCAAGTAACTATAATGAACAAAGGAGACGAGTAAAAGGGAACTAAAGAGGCCTAAACAAAGGACTGAGTGAGAATGGGATGGAAGAGAAGAACTGTGCCTGCAGCAAGGTAGGAAGAGCTGGGAGAGTGGGAAGTGTGATGGAGCTAGCCTAGAAGGACCTAGAGGCTCAGATGCATGGAGCATGTCAGGTGGTGGCCACAGCCAGAGCGACAGAGGAAAGGAGTGGAAGGGAGGGGGCCAGGGAAGGGGGAGACCCACGGGGAGGGCCAGGCTTGGGTCAGCGGGGCAAGGGCTCCTCATTGTGGGTGCGATTGTTTTATAAGGGCAGTGCAGAGTGCAGGGCAGAGTGTGTGTATGTGTGTGTGAGAGTGTGTGCCTGTGTGTTGGAGAAGCAGCAGTGGGAATAACTCAAGTTAAAAATTCAGGACTGGCAACACTGTTGAGAACGAGGGTTGAATTATAGATATCTTTTCTGAGGAAAGAAGATTAAAGGAGAGGGTTTCTTTTTTGTTTTGTTTTTCATTTTGGCTGTTAGTTTTAAGTAGGTCATTGGAACCTCCAGTGGTTGGAAATTGCAGGGCAAGGGGGTGTTGCATTAGAAGGGCCCGTTCCAGGAGCTCTCTTCCCCCGGTGCTCAGTCCTGTGCTCCTCATGATTTCAGGAGCACACTGCTATTTGGCCCCATTATTTTTACATATACTTGCCCGTAACAATACATCCCAGGAGTGTTTGTAATTGATTAGTACAAATAAGTTGGAGATGAATTACTCTCTTTCTCCCTTCGTTGCAGAGCCCACGTTTCCTTCCAGGATCTGCTCCTCGGTCCCTTTACTCTATTTCCTGGTCATCTGCCCTTTCGTCCTGCTCCTGCTTCTGCTCATCTCCCTCCTCTGCTTATACTGGAAGGCCAGGAAGTTGTCAACACTGCGTTCCAACACACAGAAAGAAAAGGCTCTCTGGGTGGACTTGAAAGAGGCTGGAGGTGTGACCGCGAATAGGAGGCAAGACGAGGAGGAAGATGAAGGCAACTGAACCCCAAGAGGTACCTGCAGTCAGTAAGGAAAGGTGGGGGCTTTTTAATTGGGCTAACCGGGGGTAAATGAATCTTGGTTCTGTCCTCAATGATGTCTGCGGCCTTGGGCAAGTTACCTAGGAATCAGAGGGAGCGTTCGCTGAGTGCTTATTGGTTCTATGCACTGTTAGGTGTTCCTTTGTCTTACCTCATCCACCTCTTGTATCCCCCTACCTTGGAACCAGATAGCATCCTTACCCTACATCTCTTGAAGGTTCAGGTCCCTGGGCTGCAAGGAGATAAGAGGCTCCCCCACACAGCCTCTGGAGAGCTAAATGAGATCCTACAGCTATGCCCTGGCGGGGCTTCTCTCTCCTTCTTGTGTCACTTGTCACACCTGCTCTAGGTAATCTTTTTCCTCCAGATGAGAGGTGTAGGAAAGGGCCTGATGCCAGCAAGGCAAAAGGAATTGGGAACATGCCTTTTGTTTACCTAAAATCTGTCCCCCCAACAAGAATGTAACTTCCTTCAAGGCAGAAATCCAATTTTCTTCTCCCAGCCCACCTACAAAGGCCCACTCAAGAGCAAGCTCTGAGTAATAGGTGCTTAATTAATATAGGTTCTTTGACAAAATGATAAAACATTTGTAACCTGAGTTTGGGTTTTTTTGTTTATTGTTTGATAAGATTTTTTATTAATTAATTGCTGAGCAAAAACTTTTTAAAAACTCATGTAACAGTACTCCAGTCAGCCCCCCAAGGCCTCGTACCCCTGCTTCCCCCCACACCTCCATACCCCCACCAAAAGGTCCATCTGGCTCCTGGTGCTCAGCCAGTGCCTTATTTTCTTTGACCTGACAGCACTGGGTGGTACGGAAGGCATTGTTTGGAGGAGCAGGGTTGACAGTGCCACCGTTCCCTCATTCTCCTGCAGGGCTGGGGTTCAGGGACAGCAGTAGGTCAAGTCTGGTTCCTCAAGGTCTCCTATTCTCAGTTGCAAAAAGCAGGCGGTGGGGGTGGGGTGTAATGGCTTAAAGCTTTCAACAGCTGTCCCCACTGGGCCTGCAGTCCCCTCATCTTTGTTTCAAAAGCCGCTCAGGCCGTGTTGTAGCCAGAATTGGAAATCAATCAGTGCCACCTAACAGACTTGAGAAGACACATCTATTTATTATCTATGTGACCAACCGAGTTGCTTTAACACTCGTTAATTTGCATTTCCAAGGAGAGCAATTTAGTTTTAATTATTTGATCAGGCACACACGTCCTCTCCAAACATAATTAGTTCCTTCGTAAGGGGATTATTGGTGGCTATGAGCACTCCTACTGTGGACCTACCAGTTCCTTAAACTCATGTCCCTTCATAGCCTGATTTAAAATACTCCAAATCCTTCCTTAAACATGTCAGCACATTTGTTTCTTGTCACCCAGGTAAGGGAGCATATTTTTACAAACAATAAAGCTGAAATGAAGACTTTTTTCTTTTTTTTTTTTTTTTTTTTGAGACGGAGTCTCACTCTGTCACCCAGGCTGGAGTGCAGTGGCGCGATCTCGGCTCACTGCAAGCTCTGCCTCCCGGGTTCACGCCATTTTCCTGCCTCAGCCTCCCCAGTAGCTGGGACTACAGGTGTCCACCACCACGCCCGGTTAATTTTTTTTTTTTTGTATTTTTAGTAGAGATGGGGTTTCATTGTGTTAGCCAGGATGATCTCGATCTCCTGACCACGTGATCTGCCCGCCTTGGCCTCCCAAAGCGGTGGGATCACAGGCGTGAGCCACCGCGCCTGGCCGAGACCTCTTAGAAAGTATGATGACCTTCTGCCACTATTTTTTAGAAACCTGTATTTTAATTCAAAGGGAAAGAGTGCAGAAGCGAGCCTGGGCCAAGGATCTTGGATGGACTCTGCCGCAGCCCTCTGTGGGAGCACTCTTCCCCCCATCCCTCCTCTCTCCTCACATAGACACCTCCTTCAGCTTCTAGCTCAAACACCTCTTCCCCTTTGAATCCAGCACAGACATAGCACAGAGGAGATGTAAGCAGACAGGGAGGGTCTCCTGGGAATGTAGACATTTAACCAACTTGAGCAATCGGCTTGTTTTACAGCTTCCTGCCTCGCTGTCTGTTTCTTCCCAAGCCCCATGTGGAATGTGGTGACCTAGTCAGCTGGAACCAGCTCCTGACAGACCCTGGCAACTTCTAGATGAACCCGAGTGAACTTTCCTCATTACCATCCTGAAGTCACTACCCCGGGAGGAGCTACAGCTTCATGACCATAACATGTGACCTATGCGCTGGCAGCATGACTCACTGAGGCTGCGCCACTGGGACCCCTCCCTACATGCACCGATGCACTCTCTCCCCTCTCCATCACCCCATGAAACCCTCCTGTCACTTTCCTTCAGAGACACCGCTTTGGAGAATATTCCCAGCGCTCTCCTTGCTTGTGACAAGTGAAACAAACTCCTTTTGATAAAAACTCATGTTCTTGTGGAGTCATCTGTTACCCCCCAGGCAAACAAACCCCGGTTTTTTCAGGGAACAGAGACCCTCAGATATGAAACTGTCCTGGCCAGAGCAGAGCATGGGGAAGTATGAGTTCCCAGGGGGTACCTGCTGCACGTCAGGCCCTGTGCTAGGAGCAAGGGGTCCTGTGGTGACTCAGACACAGTCCCGTCCCCCTGGGATGCTCACCTTGTTTGTCCTGGATGCTCTGCTTTCATGAATGGGACTTAGAGCACCTTCGATAGTCTAACCAGCTACATGGCACTGTTTGTCCCATAGGCATCTAAAACCCTCCAGAACTAAAACACCCCCACAGTATTTTCTTCCTTTTAAACTTAAAGAATAAAATTTGCCCTGATGCATTTCGGCAGACATTTTATGCCTCTTCTCTCTCCAATTACATACTTGTTGACTTTTGGTTTTTGAAACTTCCTGGAGAGCTTTACTTTTACGCATTGATTTCAGCTTTTCCATTTCATGCCACCACCTGGTTTTACTTTCGGCTTTTTTGTATTATAAATCCTCCTTGGCAAAAGGACAAGCCTCTGTCTCAGGAGTTGACCAGCCAGGGCCTATGGGCCAAATGAAGCCCACCATCTGTTTGTTTTTTAAAATATAATATATTGGAATATGGTCACTCCCATTCGCTTACATACTGTCTGTGGCTGCTTTCACGATAAAAATGACACAGTTGTGTAGTTGCCACAGAGACCATATGACCTACATTGCCTAAAATGTTTATTACCCGGCCCTTCACAGAAAACGTTTGCCAGCCCCTGCTGTCCTTTAATGTTCTGTCTCTCTTAGCCATGTATTATGTCCCTGGGAAACTGATTCGACCTCTTGTATCTGAATCTCTTATATATCTGATTAATCTAATAAATAATCTTAGGCTTTCAGGATTGGCATCTAGTCCCAGCCATTCTGAAGTTCCACTCCACTGTACCAGGCCCATACTATAGATGGGAAGCTTATCACCCCGCAGCATTTCACATCATCATACTGAGTACCTACTCTGTGCAAGATAAGCTGACACAGAGATGATGAAGGCGTGGTTGCTCTGTTCATTATTTTTATTGTATTGAAATGTATAGAAAAAAACGATTTATGGCAGAAGATGAATACAATGGTATAAAGTCATGTGCCATAATTTCTTACAATTGTACAGGATTTTTTCATCATCTCAGAATTTCACAGCATCTCTATACAAAAGGAATTGTTATTCCTATCCAACAGGTAAGGAATTAAAGCTCAGAGAGGTTGGGATTTATCCAGGATCACCCAGCCGTATGCAGAAGAGTAAAAGCTCAAATGTAGGTCTGCTGACAAGTCCTGGACTCTTTCCACAATAAACACTATGCTCAAATCCATCGCTATGGGGGAAAATCTGGATATAATAATAGCCACCTTGAGTGGTTGTTATGGTGATCAAATCAGATAAATCAATGGAGATAAGTTTTAAAACCATATCAAGTCATAAATGAATGTCAGCATTAACCCAAGTTTTTCTAGGACTTAACCTGTCCATGTACACAAATAAAATATAATCAATAGTAATAATCCAAATTCTACAGGCTTTTCCCCCAGGCTATTTACACAGGGTCTTGACCATCTACAGTGTCCTTTAGATGTTTCTGGGGGATTCCCCAAAACTCTGGGAATTTTTTTTTTAAAGAGAGGAGGTCTCACTATATTGCTCAAGCTGGCATTGAGCTCCTGAGCTCAAGTAATCCTCCTGCAAGAGCCTTCCAAGTAGCTGGGACTGCAAGTACACACCACCACGTCTGGCCTGGATTCTGTGAATTCATATGAGCTCACAAGCAAGTCCATTCCCATGTGGTTCCCTGCAGCTCTCTTGGGCTCTGCAGGCTCCCACTGCAGCTGGCGTGCTGGAGCACATGAGATGCCAAGCTGAGTGGTGTTCAGAGGTAAGCAATGAAAAGGGTCTCATTCTCTTTCTGTCTTTACATTACATTCTTCTGTAAGGATATAAATTCAAGATTGTTTGCACCCCTGTGTCTCTAAAGATTATCTTGTGAAAACTGTTCCATTAACATTTGCCCAGTATCTCCTTCCTCCATAGAGTCCAGACACCAGTAAGTCTGTGGCCAGGCTGGGAGAGACTTCATGCTATTCTCTCCATTTCCCATTCCCTGTTCCCAGCAGCCTCTGCACTAACCTCCTCATCACAGGTCCTCTTCTCCTCCAGCAGGAAGGTTATACAATTGTGCTGTTGGGGAGGCTCTACCCCTTGGCAGACAGAGCCTGAGAAGTCTGCATTCCCTGTAGGCTCAGGTGGGACTTCTGTTACACTAGCCATTAAGTTTTACTCCTAATAAAGTGCTACAGGCCTTTAGAAAACAGAGACAACTTCATAAAGAAGATGTAAGTTGAATTGGGCTTTAAAAATAAGAAAATATTTTGACAGGAGAAGGGTTAAGTAGGACAGAGGAAGCCCCATGAAAACTGCAGTGCACAGAATAGCTTTGAGGTTAAGCATCAGATGTATGAAGGGAAGTAATGGTAGATAAATCTGGAAAGGTAGTTAGAGCAAAATTCTGGGGTTGGGGAAGGACAGAAGAACAGATCTTGAACATGCATAATATCTTGAACTTCATGTGGTGGACAACAGTGAGCCAGTGAATGTAATGTAGTAGGGAAGGAGGATTGAAAAGCAACAGCATAGATGATAGGTGGGGTTGGAGTGAGGACAGCAGTGGTATGAAGGTGAGTCAGGGAAGTCAGCTGGAAAACTATCTTCACTCTTCATTTGTGTAATGGCTATAACACCAATTTTGTGAGCATTTTGAGTATAGAAAAAAATTATCAGAAAGTCTCAAGTATCTTATCAAGCTCATAGAGGTACCTCCTATGTGTTTGTTAAACACAATGACACATTATGAGACTCTTCTTGTGTCTAATAAATGTTTATTAACCTAGTTTCTACTAGTAAGTGTAGAGATAACAGACAGTTCCACCCATTTATATTAACTGGCTTTCCATTTTTTAAATTTATTCACCTTTACATTTAATTTACTTGTTAGAAATTTGGAGTTTCTACCACATTGTCTCTTAATCCAAGGCTCCTTCTGAACCGGCTCTGACTGCCAAATAGAGATGTTTTGAGTTGAAGCATAATTATCACATTAAACCATTTACCGAGAGAAGAGACTATATGGGATGAGGACAGTGATTAAGAAGTTTCTATGTTATAAATAACCAGCATAGGAAAATCCAAATTTATTACTCCTATAAGGTCACATTGGCAAGGGCACCGAGAGGGTGTGTGCTTCCATTTTAAATTGGCTTTTCAATAATAGGATTCTTGGTGGACTTATCTCACCCTAGTCCCTTTCTGGGGACCTTGTGCTCCAGCCACACCAAATTACTTGCCAGCTAATTACTCCCCAGGTCTCTACCAAACATGCCCCTGATTTTGTATCTTTCATTTGGAAATTTTCTCCTCTTGTGTGATCCTGTTCATCCCACTCAACTGACTTCAATATGTGTTTATGCTAAGTGTGTCCACATAAGATACCAGGGAAAAACAATACTGTTTGTTCTTTCATTTGCATCTTCTGGGCTGGATCATGTTCATATAGAAAGTTGTGATGCAAACCAAGATCTCAGAAAGCTTCCTACCCTATCTCATGCCCTTTGGTAATTATAAGATTTTGAGCTCCCATAAGCTTATCTTGGGTCCTGTCTCCCAAAACCACACTCTGCTGGGAGGCGTTTCTTGGTGGCCTGATGTGCATGCGTGGCACACAATTACATGAAAGAGAAAGTAATATGGAAGCTATCCTATGGCACTGGTGCAAGTTTAAAGCCTGCTACCTTTTGCTTTTTATTATTTACATACGTACTTCTTCAGTGTGAGGGGTTTTCAACATTTTCCTCATGATAACAGTCATTATTGAGAGGCTCAGGCCAATAAAACAAATACATACTACGACAATAGCAATAAATGTTCTTTGATGACACGCATATGTATATATGCAGTGAGTTTCTAATCAAAACATATATCAGTAATAGTTACTTGGGTACAATAATACTATAGACCAGGGATCATAAACTTAGCTGTTTCAGCATCTAAGGTAGGTAAATGAAGAGAAAGTATCGGTCTGGAGAAAATCCTTAGAGAGGGATGAAGATGAGAGCAATTGGAGCATGCATATCTATTGAAAGGCACTTAAGTTCAACATAAGATACAAGACATTGTGCAAGGTAATCAAAACACTTTGAGGGGTGGAATTCTGTTCCTTGTAATCCCTGCATCACATCCTAAAGCCATCAATAAATGCTAAAACTCTGCCACCAAAATAGCATCTGAAGGTTATGCCTATATCTTAAAATTGTGAGTTATTGGCCTATGGTTTCTTCTAAAAGCTTCACTGTCTTACCATTTTAAAATAGTTCTAAAATACATGTCAAATTGATTTTTATATACGGTAATTTTTGTATAAAATATGAGGTAGAATTCTCATGCACTGCTGATGGGAATGTAAAATGGTACAGCTGCTATGGAAAACAGAATGGCAGTTCCTCAAAAATTAAAAATAGAATTACCATATGAGCCAGAAATTTCACTTCTGGGTATATACCCAGAATAATTGAAAGTAGGGGCATGAAGAGATATTTGTATACCCCTGTTCATAGCAGCATTATTCACAAAAGCCAAAGATTGGTAGAAGAAACCCAGTGTGCATCAATGGATAAATGGATGGATAAATAAAATATGGTATATGAAAAATAATACAATATTAGTCATCTTTAATAAGAAAATAAATTCCAACACATGCTATTGACATGGATGAACCTTGAAGATATTATGCTAAGTGAATAAGCCAGTCACAAAAGGACAAATGCTGTATGATTCCACTTATATAAGGTACCTAAACCAGCCCAATTTATAGAGACAGAAACTAGAATAGTTGTTGCTGGGCCTGAGGGAGGGGCGATAGGGAATGATTGTTTAAGGAGTTATACAGTTTTAATTTGGGAAGGTGAAAAAACTTCTGGAGATGGATTGTGGTGATGGCTGCACAGCAATGTGATTGAACTTAATACACACTGAGATGGACACATAAAAATGGTGAAAATGGTAAATTTTATGTTACATATTTTACCACATTATAAAAGTGAGATAAAGATCATGGTTTATTTTGCTCCATATGATTATCCCATTGTTCCAGGACCATATTTTTAAAAAGAGCTTTCTTTCCCCACTGTAGTGGCATCCATAACATAAATTAGGTGAATGTTATGTTTTTATGTATTGTTCAAGAAATCTTTGCCCATCCACAATAGTCTGCAGTAATACATTAAATCACAACCAATCATGATTTAATAACAATTTACTACTGAGCATGATTTCTTACTACTAACCATGATTTCTTACAGGGAATGCAAGGTTGGTTTAACATTTAAAATTTAATCTATGTAAATCAGTACATTAACACTTAAATCATCTCAATAGATCAATAAAAAAAGAATTTAATAACATTCGATACTTCTGTTTTTTGTTGTTTTTTTTTTAGACAGACTCTTGCTCTGTCACCTGTCACTCAGGCTGGAGTGCAGTAGCATGATCTTGGCTCACTGCAACCTTCGCCTCCTGGGTTCAAGGGAGGATTCTTGTGCCTTAGCCACTTGAGTAGCTTGGATTACAGGTGTGTGTCACCACACCTGGCTAAATCCATATTTTTAGTAGAGATGGGATTTTGCCATGTTGGCCAGGCTGGTCTCAAATTCCCAGCCTCAAGTGATCCCCTGTCTTGGCCTCCCAAAGTGTTGGGATTATAGGCATGAGCCACCACGCCCAGACTTAACACTTATTCTTAATAATATTTCTCAGTAAACTAGTAATAGAGGGGAACTTTCTAAAATTGATAAAGTATAT